CTAGAGCATTATAAATTTTTATTCTTTAAAAAAAAAAAAAAAAAAAGAAAGTAAGAAAACGACTCAATCACCTAATGGGCCAGCCTAAAAGTTCATTGTGCCGAGCACGATAAAAGCACGACACGGTATGAGCACGAGTGTGTTTAAGCCCATGAATTGTGCCATATTTATATTTTTAAATCTTGATTGGCACGAGCACGACACGAGTTTTGGTAGGCTAGGCCGAGCACGGCACGAAGCACGCATAGGCTTAGCCGATTGTGGGCTGGGCAGGCAAGACACGACACTACATGACACGATTAAAGTGAAATGAGGCAAATACTCTTATCTTAAAGTACATGAGTCTAAATTTTTATCATTTATTTTTTATTAATATCATTTAAATCAAATAATTATATTAATAAAAAAAAGTATTAATAAGAGATTGAGATAAAAATCAAGACCATATACTTTTAAGTTAAGTAATTCTCTCCAGGATTTTGACATCACTAAACTCTACCCACATAAATAGCTCCCGGCTATTATGGTCCATGCCTACGAAAATCCTTTTTTTTGGTTGCAAATGTCATATAAAATTTGACGAGCTGATGAATAGTTAGTTTCTTGTATTTTTCTTGGATTGGATATTGATGATTACTTGGGAGATAAGAACTACATAAAAAAATAAATAAATAAATAGAAACCTTGATAGAAATTGTCAAAAACATTACTTGCGAAATATCATGTTATTTTACTTGAGTGTACAATTAAATATTTTAACACCAACTTGGACTTTGCTTCTGTCTATTAAAAGATTTTGTAACCCGTGAGATCTTCTAAATAGAAAATATTATTACTAAATTATCTCATTCTCACTTAAAAAATAAAAATGTGAGAACGTTGATGATTAAAATAACAAACACGCATTGGCAAGTCAAGAAGTTTAGTTTAAATTGAGAATTGCTAAACTGCACCATATTGATCAATCATTAATATTAATGGGATCATCAGATGTCATGCCTTCCATAACTGGTGACGTAAAATTCAACAATAAGGGTTCCTAATCCTTTAGACAAATTTGAAACTATAAAAACTAAATAAAAACAGAAGAAGATTTTTCTTCTTAGCTTTCTCGAACTCTTCTATTTCTTTTCCTTTTTTTTTTAATTACTTTCCAGCTAAAATTCTAGAAACACACCGCCACATCAACAATAGATACTTGGATTGGAGCAGTGATATTTGTTCCTAATTAAATCAGGGGATGTTTGGTTAGAGGATTGAAACTATAATTTGAATCATACTTTATAATTCATAGTTCGTTACAGTGTTTTCTCTCACAAAAAATACACGTAAATTAAAAATAATTCTAATCACATTATTCTAATTCATGAACCATTCTCCAATTTTTGATTCAAATAATATACTTTCGCAATTCCTTCTCTTTAATTTTTATCTGCAAGAGGGAGAATTGCTTTTAAAACCTCATGGCAAAACTTGATGCAGTTCAAGGCCTCAATTTCATCACAATTGTCTTTGCTTCCACACTTTGTGTTTTTTTTTTTTTTTTGGGGTTAATTTATTTAATGTGTAGCAACTTGTTGTCATTTCTAGAATGTTAGGACAAGTCACATGAATCGTGCTTATCATGGGCTACAACATATTTTGGGGATATGCACGCGAGATTAATGAAAAGATACGTATAAAGTTTTGCAGGAAAAAAAAAAAAAAAAAACAAATTACGTATAAGTTTTCCCTTATAGGTTCTAGATTCAAATATATAAAAAAAAAAAAAATTTAAAAAGAAGAGATCCCAGATTAACACAAGTTGATTTTTTTAGTTGAATGGTCCACATGCAAGAAAAAATTTATCGGTAATGTGACAAACAGTTAAGCAGATAAGAGACTTTATTCTAGTAAATGGTATAATGATAATGATCATGTGCCCAAAACCCACCAGATCAGGACACGTTTGAAGGTTAAAACTGTACGGTTAAGACTTCATTATTGTTTCTAGAAGAAGTCAACGTCGTCTCGACGGCAACTATTGCAGAACAGAAGCTTTGCATTTTCTCTCTAGAACTAGAAGACGGCCAAGATCTTGGATGTAACGACTAACAAGCACAAAAAACAGGCCTTATTTTTCCATGGAATAATGCCCTTTTCTTGATTATGATGAAACGTCACACTAGACTTTAGTGCCCTTGCAAGATTTCGCTACATCACCATGTCCTTTTCATTCATATATACAATATATAAATATATAAAAAAAATAAATATAACCAAATCACTATTAAGTATCCTCATTTTTCTTACTCTTTGAGGTTGACACTTTGTCGATAATCTCATCTAGAAAGAAAGCAACTCCTTTTGACATTAATCGTTTTTAAAAAAGAAAAAACATGTAAGTAAAAGAAAGTTTAGAGTTGCAGCTCCTTTTAAAAACGAAAAAACATAAAGTGAAGGGAAGTTTAGGGTTGAAGCTCCCAATTGCGACGGTAAACATCTATTTCTCACCATTTCACACATTTTCATTTCATTTTCCATGGTTGTTATAGACTTCGACGTGGACCGATACAAAATCTTTTCGTTAATCTTTTTCCCAATAAAAAAAATAAAGAATTTATTCTGAAGAGTGTATGAGTCTGAATTTTTATTCCTTAATCTTGATAAATATTCTTTTATTAGTGTAATTATTTGACTAAAAATATTATGAATTAAAAGTAAAAAGTAAAAATCACGATCCATGCACTTTTAAAGGGTATTTGTTAAGATTACCCTTTTTCTAAACCACTTTTATTTATGTTTGTCTCTATTCATATCCTGAAAATAACGAATAATTTTACCCTTGGTATTCTAAAATTAGTGTATTTATATTTTAATAAAATGATCATAGATATATATATCCGGAATATATTTTTATTTTAATTAGAAAGGGACCTTCTCTGCCAAATTAGTCTACTGGTAGGATTAATTTTTGATCGTTAGATATTATTAAAATCGCATCATATTAAAAAAATATGCCGAATAAATAATTTCTCATATAAATTTAACGGTTGAAAAATAAAAAACTACCGATAATTTATTTTTTTCAATCCTACCAAAAAAACTCCCGTTTGAATACAGACGAAGGCAAACTTTACTAAAGAACATTCTAGGGGTAGCTTATGTACATGCAAGTACTTCGAAACTTCTATTCCGTCACTTTTAGTTGTGTTTGGTAAACCTCGTTGATTTATACCATTCATCCTTAGCCAACCCATATTCTAATTTACGCTAGCGCTATTATTTTACTAATAGCCTAAACGCGTTCACACATTAACGGGGACGACTTCTTTTTCCCATTTTGTACTCTCGTTTCTGGGTCTTCAGTTGTTCATTCAGAACAAAATTTTCCAAGCAAAAAACTATGGTTATCATCTCTCCGAGTAAGCGCGTGTTCATGAGCTATAAAGATCACGGATTATCTCTCCTGAGCTTTTCAAACCACAAATTCTCTGATCAACGAGAGTATGAGATTAAAGTCAAAAATTAAGGCTTGTCAAGAAAAACAGAAATTAAATTCAAAATTCAAGGATCAAGTCAGACAACAAATAATTAAAAAAAGGAGGTTAAACAATCTAGGGCATACAATGGCAAACTTATCATCTCATCCATTATCCACTGTATTCTGTCAGTTCCACTTCAATTGAAGGGCAGATTTTCCAAGAGAGAGAGAGAAGAAAAAAAAAAAAAAAAAAAAAAAAAAAGGACCCCCAAAAAAAGGTAAGCTTTTGGTCTATTTACTACCCAGTTGAAAAGAAAGATAGGCATTTATTTCAAAGTTGCTATTGTCAAAAATGAACGCTTTACGAGTTAGTTCAAGATATGAACACTTTTCACTTGGTCATGATTCCACAGGAACAAAGCAAAAGAAAGAACAAAAATCTTAAAGCATATTTATACAATGATCGTCGCTGAACAGTTCTATAAATGTGCAGTAATTATGAGCAGGACATGGAGGAAAAAGACCGCATATACCCACTTCATACATTATCTGGATCTTCTCCATCATGAGAAAAACCTTGTACTTTCAACTGATCAGATCCCTGGTAATAATTAGCAAAAAGCTAAAACGATTGGCAAAGCGATATAATTGAGATGCTTATAAACCAAAAACACAAGGCACGAAGTAGAAAATGAAATGCATCTGCTTACACAAAGGGGACTGCAAAGTTTCCCGTTAGTCGTTGTGATCAAAATTTTCATCATCCTTCATATACTTCTCTTGCACTGCTGCAACTGTGAACTACTTAGTTAAAGAAAATCTCATCAAACTCCCCATTCTCAGTCATTCATAACGGTCTTATATATAACATATAAAATAAAAGGGTGAATATGTACAAGTGATCTTGTATTCAAGAACGCAACGATGAAAGGAGGAGAAAAGAAGAAGAAATGAAGTGCAAAAAGGGAAAAGAAGAAGAAAAGGATATCTGTAATAATCCCAATCAAGTGGACCAACTGCAATCTTGCTGAATTCAACTGCACTTGCTTCTATGCCCGCAAAAATATACCCATTGGTTTTGTCAATCAGTTTAACAAGATTCCTTACACTTTCCTTATCCTGTAAATGAGTACGCCGACTGTGTTTAGAATTTATGAACAGTAAATTACAAAAATAAAGGTGCCAACAACAAAAAGGAAGAATATTGGCGGACCTGAATGTCTAGGGTTGTAAAATCGACAAGGCTGTAGTCTTCTATCACATCACAGAGCTCCTTGGTAAGCTTTCTGCAACAAGAAAACATTCAGTCGGCATATAGTTGAAGTCGACTAACCAAAGAGTTTCTCTGCATGCAGACTTCTATCTCGCCTCCTTCCTTTCAGTATGTGAAGAATCATGCAAACCCAGTTCAATTTCAAGCTTCAGTGAATGTGTTCTGGTCAGCGACGATAGAGTTTAATTACCACCAAAAAGAAAACTCCATTCCGCCTATCCAGAGATCTAACTCACAAGAGTTGCTATTAACATTTATTTTACTCATACCGAGCCGGCATTGAGGTTAAACCCTATTCAACCCATCTAAAGATCCAACTCACATGGGTAACTAGCAAAGAAAAGGTTGTTAACTCACGAAATGGGAGAATATTCCAACTCTGGTGGAGGTAGCAATAAAATATAGGAGTCTAACACGAAACCTAGGACTATGCTCCCTACAGTGGAGCAAGCAGTAAAAATATATAAAAGGGTGAGTATAATTAGAATTTAAAAAAATCTGTAATTAACTCCACCTGTACTTGGCAGTGCGTGGATCCTGATCAAGGAGGCTCTGTAAATATGATAGATCTTGAACGTCAGTATAAAAATCGAGATTAAACGCTGCAAAGCATAAAAGAAAGAAAAAAATATATTAACAATTGGCATGCATAAGCAGCAATTGCAAGCAGTATTAGCATCAGAAATTAACACTTCAACTCAATAAAAGAAAAGCTGCAAACATACCTAGCTTTCCATAGTTCTCTATTAAGTCGATCTTCGACAAAACATTAATGTGTGGGAGTTCCATATGTAGCATCGTTGATAAAGAGAGAAGCAATGCACTAATGTATTTCCCAGCGTCACTGCAGAGATGGGCATCAACTAAATGCACGGCAGTCAACTGCATCAAATGAGGAACCCATAAAGATAACGGGCATAAGTCATTCGAGTCGTTCAGACTCCTGATTGAAAATAAAAACGTCATTCATTAAAAACAAAATCATACCCTAAGGTTTAACTTTTTTATGAGTTTCATGATGACACTCTTGGCACTGGAGTGAAGAAAAAATAACTCTACTTGGCCAGGGAAATCAAAGAGAAGATAGTGATCTGCAAAATTAATAGCATTATAAGCAAACATGGGACTGGCATTTTATAATTGCCACTGAATGGGTAAGATAACTAATCAAAGGCTTTGAACCGGTAACTTTTAAATTCAGCTTGTATATGTAAATTTTAATGCTAAATTGCTAAAGGCAACACAGAATATACCAACCTTTTACTAGAGGTTCCAGTTTTTTTTCCAACCAATCTACATTTTTCTCTAGATAATCCATACAATACACAAGGCCTAGAGTTCATCAGAAAAGAAACGTTAGAGTGCACAAAACAATAAATGAAAAGAAAAAAAGGCGAAAAAATTCGACCCCCTTAAAAACTAAAGGCCGAAGGTCAAGAACAGAGTCTACCAACAACAATTGCTTTCACAGATTGAAGCAACAAAAATAATAAGAAAGCATCAGACTTACCTCCATTAGGACCAAGGGAATGCTCCGTCATCACATCACTTAGTTTTATTAGATCCTCAATGTTGACGGCGCATTTATAGCTAGATAGTAAGCATTAAGGAGACTTCATATTTGGCACGCAACAAGAAAAATACGAAACTCTAAAAATAAAGAAAATGAGCAATAGTATTAATACCCTCACGAAGAGGATACGGTAACGCATCGTTAGCAGGATCCAGATTTATAATAGCAACTTTCCTGCACACCTCAACGATACAAAATCTCTCAAATTCAAGCAGCTATTTTTTAAACTAGAAAATAGCTACAAAGACAAAAACGGCAAGAATGAACAACTGCCCAAAATGCAGAAATATAAAGTTTACCTTCCGATGAGTTTAAGGAACTGAGACATGCCATTGCAGTATGTGGTCTTCCCTGATCCAGGGGGACCAATCACAACTTGCCCAAACACCATTTTTCCTTTCTTGTCCCTTTACTCGAAAGGTTCTTTCCTCAAACTACTGGCATGAAGCAATTTCTCTAGGGAAAAAAAAACAAGGAAAGAAATTTTCGCAGAAAATTAAATCAACTAGGTCAACACGAATGCAAAAAGTAACATGTATGAGATATTCACCAAAAAACAAAAAGGAAAAAATTTTACCGGTGCAAAATAGTGATACGAGGAAACAAAATGAAGAATCCATAATGCAGAAGTTAAAAACACCCTAAAACAGCTTGAGAATTAAACATCCCAAAAAGCGTATTTTGAAAATTGAGGTTAATTTATTAAACCCCAACGCAATAGGGCTTGCAGAGTATCAGTTGAGAGCCGAAACTGGGAAAAAAAAACGTATTTTGGGAGAGACGAAACTGGAAAGCGAAGCGCTGAGAAAGAAGATACTCACCGGAAGGAGGAGCAAACCAGTGCGATCGAGAGAGAGAGAGAGAGAGAGAGAGAGAGAGAACGTATTTTGGGAGAGACGAAACTGGAAAGCGAAGCGCTGAGAAAGAAGATACTCACCGGAAGGAGGAGCAAAGCAGTGCGATCTCGAGAGAGAGAGAGAGAGAGTTTTTAATAGGGTTTTAAACATTTCGCCATTAATATAACTAAAAAAGAAAAAGAAGGAAAAGGGGCATTCCGAGAATCGAACTCGGGACCTCTCGCACCCAAAGCGAGAATCATACCACTAGACCAAATGCCCACCTATGATTCCTTCGCCGTAATTATTTTATTTAAATTAAAATTTTGCTTCAATTTAGGACCAGTCTAACTCTTTTGTGGCCCACATCGTTAGGTTCTCTAGTCCTCGTGGGCTAGAATGATTCCCCCCTCAATATTGAAACATAGGGAGGTAATGTGATAATCATTGAGCCAAGCTGTTGTATGAGAATGGAAGTAATCCAGCTAAGCGTTGGGTTTAATCAAGAGCTGGCATTCGATGGCCATGGGGTCGTTTTATTACTTTAAGATTCCAAAAGTCTTTCTTCTGTCGTTTCTCCCAAATAAAAAATAAATAAATAAATAAAAACCATATACTGCCTTTAAAAATTAAAACTACATTATTTTTTGCAAAGAATAAAGAAAAAAAAAATTAAACTTTCGTATTTTATGTGCCATTTCTATTTTTGACTTGTTGTTCAGTTAAGCCATAATTTGTCGATAAGAGGGTGACCACTTGGTCTTTACTGTCCCCATGCATGTATGGCACGTATACTACTACTCCCGAGTGCTGACATTAGTGCAGCCGAATTGTGCAGTACTTATCAAGACAAGGACCTCTTCAATAATTTAACAGCTAGCTAACTTCTCAACTAATTCCATGGTCCGTTTAGCAAATAAAAGAAAATTTAATGGTCCATATTTCTTGACCTGCCAATAGTAATCCGCAATGAAGTTGTCCAAATGGGTTGTCTTTAAATGGATTGATTTGTGTTTCTATCTTATGCAAAAAGCAACTTAGACAATTCAACTAATAAAAAAAAAGAAAGAAAGAAAGAAAGAAGGAAAGAAAAAGTCGTTGAATTTCCTGTACTCAGAGATTGGATCTATCCGCATCCTGCAAGTAAAACTTATTTTTCACCTTTCTTTTATCACCTTTCTACTGTTGGAGTACAGGGAAAAAGAGAACAAAAGAAAAGAGAGAGAAGGAAATAAATAAATAAATATCAGAGGACAACCATTAGGTAAGTGCTTCAAATTGGGACAAAATGATTGCCAACTGTGACCACCTTTAATTATCTCAACTGCTTTCGTTTTCCGCAATCCCCTGCTTCATTCCTCATTCCTATTACCCTTCTGTTTCCTTATCTCCTCTCCACTTTTCATTCCAGAAAAAGGAAAAACTAACAAGTGTTGGTTGAGTTTCTTAGATTAATCCACAAGTGGAAAGCAAACATGGCATTTGCAGGGACAACCCAGAAGTGCATGGCCTGTGACAAGACCGTGTATCTTGTTGACAAGTTGACGGCGGATAACAGGATTTACCACAAAGCCTGTTTCCGATGCCACCACTGCAAAGGAACCCTCAAGGTAATGTGTGTATTTATATATAAATAGATATATATATATATATATATGTAATATGTATGTATGTGCATCCCCTTCTCTCTCTCTCTCTCTCTCTCTCTCTCTCTCTCGTGCTTTCTTTGATGTGGTTGATTATACACTGCCTTCTTTCATAGAGGCGTGCTTTGATGGCTATTCTCATAAATCTAATTCTGCGATTTTTGCTCACACCTTTATGTCAACGGTAGATCAGAACCAATGATTGTTAAACCGCAAAGGAAAAAAATAAAACTAGACAAGTCTGTTGGCACTTGGTAGGCTTTGCTCTCATAACGTTTTACTAAACCATTATTCTAGGACCAGAATTTTAATAGTCGTTTAAAGTTCTTTTTAGGTGTTGGATTGGATTTTCTTGCGTGTTAAAGTAAGATTTATAAATACTCAGTTTATTTCCAAGCCATGTTTATGCTTCATTATATCAGAAACTATTCGTTTTGGTTTGTGACAACGTACTTGACTAAAGTTCCCATTATGTGCCAAAAAGTATATGGCAAAATGACTTCTTTCAATGGGAGTTTTGGTGCAAATTTATTGATCGATAGATTAAATTTGCAGCTCAGCAACTATAATTCCTTTGAGGGGGTACTCTACTGCAGGCCACACTTTGATCAGCTCTTCAAAAGAACTGGCAGTCTTGACAAAAGCTTTGAAGGTAAAGATCCAGCTTCCTCCTAAATAAGTAATCTTTCTTTTATTGGTTTCCTTTTAAAGGAGCTAATCTGTTCGTATTTGATTCATCATTTCAGGGACACCTAAAATCGTAAAAGCAGAAAAACCCCTGGATAGTGACGTAATTCGTCTAAATCAAGTTTTTTTTTTTTTCTCTTTCTTTTTTTTTGTTTTTTTTTTTTTGCCATTAATACAAAAAAAGTTTCCAAATACCTGCTCATGTTAATCTTTGATCTTGAATCCCTGTTGCCAGAAACCTGCAGTGGCTAAAGTCACAAGTATGTTTGGAGGAACTAGAGATAAATGCTTTGGCTGCAAGAATACTGTCTATCCAACTGAGAAGGTAAACACTAAACACTAAATTGTCATATTTCTGCACATAAATTGACACGTCATTATGCAATTTTTTGTTTTCGTGAAAGCACGAGGCTAATACTGTGTTACTACTGAATAAAAGGTGACAGTAAATGGGACTCCTTACCATAAAAGCTGTTTCAAGTGCTGCCATGGCGGGTGTACGATCAGCCCATCGAACTATATTGCACACGAGGGACGGCTCTACTGCAAACACCACCACATCCAACTGATTAAGGAAAAGGGTAACTTGAGCCAGCTTGAGGGTGACCATGTCAAGGATGCAGCTTCGGAGAATGTCACGGTTGCCACAGAAGTTGCTGCTGAAATTTGATGCATAGAATAAAGACTAATTCTAGTGTCTCAGGTCTCGTGTATTTCTTTTCCTCTATGTTGCTGTTGTTTCCTTTGCCTGATGATCATTTCACTGCAGTCCTAAAACGCATTTTGCTTGCCAGACAGATGGATTTCTATATATAAATATATATATATATATATAGACATATATATAGTTGAAGCATGTGGATTCATTCGTTGTTTATCGGTTTTGTTGTGGGATTGTGGATGCTCAATTTCATGGGATGCCAAAACCTGTTCAGTTCTTATGCCCCTCTTTTCACCCCTGCGGTTTTTGTAATCTTGAGAGCTATTTGGTTTGTTTGTGAACTTATGGTTTCACTATTAATGATGTTAAATAAGTGTTGAGAGTCTAGCTTCTTTCTCTGTAAAAGCATTCAACTCTTCATAGCTTTGCTTTATTGTAAGATTTACAATGCAAAGCAGGTAGCTTTTTTTCACGCCCTAAATGAACAAAAGCTGATATGGGCACCGCTTACGGGATTGAATCCGCAACCTCCCACCTAAACCCCACTCCACCCAAATCCCCCAGTGCCACTAGAGCAAGAGGTCTCAGGCAAATGATCAATGAATAACGATCTTAAATGATATGGGAAGTAAATCTAATAATCTTATTGCATGAGAAGCTTACGGAATGAAGCAAATTTAATGAAATGGAAACCAAAATCCGATAGCATTGCATTGAATTTGAGAAATTTTAAGTCGGAACCTACGCAAGTTAGGTGGCTGGTTCAGGCTAAAGGGAGAGAGAAAGAGAGAGCGAGCTGAAACAAACTACACAAATTAGGTGGCTGGTTCAGACTATTGATAAAGAAAGAACATGAGCTGAAACAAAGGTGAAAGTGAACCAATTGAGATGATGACATCTCAATAAATATGTTATACAGGGCCAACACCAAGTTAGTGGCTGTTACATCTGTACAGAACTTTCTGAGACTAGAAATATCAGTCACAGGAAGACTCCACTGCATCAAGGAGACAACCATTCTCGGACACATGCTTCAGGTCTATAATAAAATTGTCCCTAAGAAACCCGAATCCAAATGTTCCGTCCCTATATTGCCAAATCCTTCCCTCCACAAGCTGTGGATTAGCAGTAGTTCCTGCCATGTGTGGAATAACCAGATCATAACTTGAGTTGACATAAAGAATGCGAGAGACCACATTGTTCTCTGCTGATGCGGGACTCTCAATCCAATCTGCTTCCGGAAGTGGGCGAAGATGTAAGCGACTAGCGAATAGATTTTCTTCCTCAGAAGAAAATGGAGACTCCACAAATGTAATGTTTGATGTCCAGAATACTGGACCATAACTGGCAAAATTTTCCCGCGAGTTCCAAACCTTTCGGCAAGAAATGCCATCAATATCGTCATATGCAACGAGATAGATGCCCAGGTTCATGTCGTCATAAATTCCCTGCAGTAGACAAGTAGGGACAGATGACCAATAAGGAAGAACTCTTGTAGGCATAATCTTCCGAGAATGATAGTATATAAGAAACAACTAAAAAAAGGGACCAAAACAATCAATTATGCAGAGAATGTCTGCAAAGACATGACTCAATTCACTCCAGGACAACACTTGGAACAACTAAATCAAATTACACAAGACTAAAAAGGGAACACATTCAAAGTCCATCACTAACAATTGCCAATAATATACATGACAGAGAAGAAACACAAACTAAACATAAAGACAACATATTCACAGTAAAGAGTAAAATTTGATTCATGTCATCTAAATTTCTCAATTAAATACAAAGGCATTCCAACACAATGAAGTTACAACACTTGAAAGGGCCAATATAAGCATAAAATATAAGGAGAATAAAGAAGAGCAAACCTTCCACAGGCCCTGCAATGGCCGAGACGGAGTAGGCGAGCAATTAACAATCTTGACGAAATGTTGAGGCTCCCATTTCCTCCTCGCTTGCCTCTCCTTCTCTCTCCTCCTCTGGCTCCTTGACGTCCTGTCCCCAACGGGGCTCGTCCGGTTCGCAAAGTACTGATAAATCTCCGACATGAACCGGTCCGGTAAGCTCCCCGGAGACCCCATTTCCGCTTCAATTACATCCTCCTCGTCTCCGCGCAGATTCGCCGAGCTCGAACTTCTGCGAACCCCGTTCTTATACGCAAAGCTCAAATCTTCCTCGACAACAAAATGCGTTTTCCCCATGAAACTCACATTGACGGGGACCAGATCGCTCTCTGCGCAATCAAAGCCTTCGGAGATCGCGAAATCCCTGGAGATTTCGCTCCGGCCGTCGGGGTCGAGGAAGTTCACGGTTTGCCCCTCAGGCGAGAGGCTCATCCATAAAAAAGGAGCCTTTATCACGTTGTAGGTTCCGTTTCTCGATGGAGAAACTCTAGAGGCGGTGAGGAAGGATGGGCCCCACTCGAAGAAGATCAACGGCGGGGATGATATGCCGGCGGTTTCTCCGGCGCCGCTTCGGCGCGAGAAGCCGATCAGATTCTCCCACTGGCTGAGGGTCTTGTATAGCAGCTTGTAGGAGATGTTTCCCTTGCCCCATCGCTTGATGTGGGTCTTCGAGCCCCACCTCCGGTCGCACATGGCGAACCAGAGCTTACCGTCGTTTATGCATAGCGAAACGAAACGTTTCGAAGTGCAAGCGAATGCGGCCATCTCCGGCGGCGTGAGGAAGGAGAGGACGCAGAGCTGGACGTCTTCGGGGAAATCGGTGAAGGAAACGGAAGAACCAGGGTCTTGAAGGCTCGCCATTTTCTTCGTTGAAGCTTGGAAGGATTTTCTCGGTAAAATGATGGATTTTTCTAGGGAAAGTTCAAAGTTACTTGGCAGGATAAATTGGGTTATTTGAGAAAAAGATCGAAAATTTTGGTAAAATAAAATAAATTGGTAGATTCTCGGAGAATGGGAATAATTCTTTCAATCTGGTTACTGTTGTACGAAAGAGTCTTTTGGACATTAGACTCGTGGAAGTTCAGACTACATTCCGTGACTCTGCGTAGTGGCTCGGGGTAAAACAGTAATGTAACATAAATGATCGTCTACATGCTCCAGGTTTGCGACGATTTATATACTCAAATTTAAATTATTAATAATTTATTTATTAATAACTTATTTTTTTATTATTTTTGAGCTAAGTGATTTGAGTATAAATTTTAAGTTGAATTTAAGTTATAACTAGTTTGTATTTGGTTGCATAAATTTGAGTTATAATTTGATATTATAATTTATTTGAGTTGGGCATGTTTTTTTAGAGTGTAACTTGAATGTAATTTTTGAGTTAAATTTGAGTTATAACTTGAGTTGAAGTTGTAACTTGAGTTTGTGTTTGGTTGTGTACATTTGAGTTATGGTTTAAGATAAGAATCTTTTTTTGAGTTTGTGTTTGAGTGAGTCAAAACTTAAATTTATATTTATATAGTATTTAATAAAAACTCAATGGTGATGAAAAATTTTAATAGGGTATATGGGTGAGATTTTATTCATCTTTTCGTTGTCAACGCATAGAAAAAAATCATCTCAATCAGGATTAAACGAAAAAGTTATAATATTTTTAAGAATAAAAAAATATTGTTCATTAATTTGAGTTCGAGTTTCTGAACTCGAGTTGAAGGGAACACTTGAACTTGAGTTTTAGTCTCAAACTCAAGTTCAAATTTAAAAGAATATGAACTTGAATAAAGTTGGAACTCGAATTACTTTTTTTAAATTTTTTAGGCAGCCGAACACACGTGTTTATTTTTACTAAAACTTGAGTCGTAAATAGTATCTTGATTTTTTTTTATTTCTTTCATTTAATTGATTTTATGTAATTAAATCTGAATAAATAAAATTGAATCATCTATAAGTAGTAATAAATTTGAAAATAAAGTAGACATTTTTGTTCATTTAATAAATTAAAAACCAAAGTAGGCATTTTTTGTTCATTTAACTAAAAATGACATGTGACACTTATCTACAATAAGAGTTGTGAAATTAAAAGTGCAATTACAA